AATATTGAATGAATAAATCAAATGCAATTCAGTGCACTTCAATCAAACCGCGATTTGGACTAGTGTATGTGAATATTAAATGGCAAAAATACTATTTAGCTACTACAGACGACAACCGCAAGCGTTGCAGGTGCTTAAATAGCAAACTAGCAAACGAAACGTGCGTCTGCGCCATTCATTCCGTTACACAGTAAATTCAATTTTTATGAATTTTCTACATCGCCCTACTTTTGCTAAGAAACACGTTCAACGCGGACGCACAGATGGTTGTCGTGATAATGAACACCAGAGCAACCACTTGTGTGTCCGCACTGAACGCGCATCTCGCATATAAAAAGCATTTTAAGGGGCCCTTGACTTTTGGGGGCCCAAGGCGGTCGCCTACCTTTGCCTAATGGTTAAGTCCGCCTCTGAACAGCAGGATTCCTCAAATCTTGCCCTGGAGGGCCAATGCCCTACAGAGTTTAGCTCCAACGCTAATTAAACACCTGAGCAAGCTTATCAAGGTCCTCAGGATCTATAGAACATCACAGGTAAGTGAGTTTGATCAGTGTTTGAGCTAAACTCTGCAAGGCAGTGGCCCTCCAGGACTGGATTTGAGGATCCCTGCTTTACAGGTAGGTAAAGATTCAATACTGAAATATAGTTACATCCTACTTTCAACCTCAGCCCACTTACCAGCGGTACATTAAATTAACTAAAGATGCTAAAATCCACCAGTTCCTATGTCAGTGACAAATTCTGGGAATCTTTGATTAACAGGTTTGTATCAATCAAGTGAAACCGTAAATTAAACCGTCTGTACTTGTTGCTTTCAGACGTATGGAAATTCTAACCACAAAGGTCTAGTTCTTGTAGGACATTAGTGGGTCAAACAGGTCTTATACTTTAGACTAAAATTGGTTTGAAGGCAACCACTTCTGTGGACCTAATTTGTTCATCACCCATCACTTTTTACCTGCTGAGAATATCCGGGTTGTTTCCAGTCTCCAAATGTCCTTTATATGTGCTGTTAATGAGGTGAGGGACTTGATCACTTCTCCAAAAGAGAACTGTGGATTAGTTGTCAGGCTTTGGAAGTCATTAGAAGTCGGCCAGCGGGATTGGACCTCCAACAAGATTTGGAGATAATCAGGAGAGGAAAGAAGGCTTCTACCACACATTTAAAATAGGGACTTTAAGCAACAGCTGCGAATGGAACGGCTACGATGACCGGAAGTAAGCTGTTAAACCGCCGTAGCTGAGAACATACAAATGACTAAGCAACCGTAAACAAGACGGCAATGCGGTATTCAGTCATTTATTTAAGTATTATGAGGAGGATGTTTAGGCAATACTTACATTGTTTGCTTCACATCATCTCTAGTCTCAGTGCTACCTGAGATGTTGTTGCTAACAGCAGATATATCTTTGTACAAACTGAAAAATCGTTAAAATCAGTTTCATTTCAAAGCATATAAACAAAGATTAAATAAAAGACTAATGGTAGAATCGTATACTGGTGCAATTACAATGGTATATACCATAAAACGTAATCTGTCACGTTGTAACGACTGCGGCAAACCAGCATGTGCAATATGAAGTCGAAATGCTGTTGCCGTTCCATCAGTGGCCGTTGCTTAAAGTCCCTAATTAGTCATTTGGTAGCCACTTTAGTCCAAAGTGTATTGTAGCAAATGGTTTGCATTGTGATGGGATCAAATAAGAAATCCACTGATAACAAGCTCTAAGCTTGAGTCACTACATCAGCATTAGCTGAAAGACTTTGATTATACAATTTGTTGATCATGAATAATGCGAGCTTTGTATCAAGACTATAATAATGCATTTATTCAAACAGTGTCTTGGTGTGTTTTCAGTTCTGGTGGTGCTTTTACCTGGAGGAAATAGATGTGATCATCAGTATGTGAAAGCTGCTCCACCTCGGACTGTTTTCTCTTCAACTTTGAGATCTCTTGTTCCAGATCTTGCGAATGTCCCTGAATCCGGTTCTGCTCCGTGGTCATCTGACTTTAGACCAGCGTAATTATCTCTGTGTGGCTTCTCCGTATAAAGCTGAGCAGTTCGGTGAAGATCCTGTCACCTTCTTCCTCTGTGGCTTGAGTCAGGTTTTGTTAGTGGAAATATAGCAAGCTGAACCTTTTTTGTTCTTGTTCTCGTTCTTGGTTTGGGTAAAGTGTGTAACTTTTCTGCACCGTTAATGGCACCAAATTGAATGATAGTTTACAAACAGCCCATCTTCTGTGTTCTTCTTCATCTTCTTGTTCATGGTTCAAGTCACTTTGGGAAGTCAACCAGTGGCTTAATTATAGCTTATGCCTGTTACTAGGAAATAGGAGAATCTTTTAAAATCTTTTTTTATTTGTCTTACCCTGAGTCTACCTGATGCCTTTTGGGTTTCCTTCAGCTCTGTCTCTCGATCCGTAACCATCTGCTTGGACTTTTCCAGCTGCCTCTGGGAATCATTGGACAACGTCATTCAAGACCCTATTTTACGTTCTCAGTCTTTTACATTTAGCATCGCAGTTGTGACTGAGAACTACTATGGTATCACAAAGATACTTGAGGCATTTTATGTGTGCCATAACCTGTTGTACCTTGTGACTGTTCTGGCAAGTCTATCTTATTGTCATTGCCTTTTAATCATTGTCTTTGTTCGGAAGAGTTTACTTTTTTTGAGCAACATCAGGCACAGTTGTTGAAGTCCATAATGGCAGCCCACCTCCAAAATCTTGTTCATAAACAAAACTGCAACTGGATATTCCCATACGGACATCTGCTCTATAGCTTTAGAACCAAGTCTAAAACGACAAACCCTCACCAAAATCCATTTCATGAACCAAACTGCACCCAACCATACTTTCAAACAATGCTTGCCTCTTATTGTCACAGTTTTTAATCATTATGTTTTTGTATTGAAGAGTTAAAGATATTTTTTAAGCAACATGTGCTCTGTAGTTGTAAAAACCAAGTCCATAACAACAAACCCTCACCAAGATCCCGTTTAACTGTAACTGGCTATTCCCAAATCTATTCACCCAACCAGTTAATTGACTGCCTTTCAAACATGATTGTCTCTTATTTTCTTTGGCTTTCCTGATTTTAATCATTAAAGGGATAGTTCACTCAAAAATGAAAATTTACCCTCATGTCATTCTAAACCCGTAAGACCTCTTCGGAACACAAATTAAGATATTTTTGATGAATTCTGAGAGTTCTCTGACCCTCCCATAGACAGCAATGTAATTACCACAATCAAGGAGATTGGTAAAATAATCCATGTGACATCATTCAACCATAATTCTACGAAGCTACGAGAATACATTTTGTACGCAAAGAAAACAGAAATATCCTTGCTTAACGATCTCCTTGCTATGTTTCTGGACCTTGATCGTGTTAATTCTATTGCTGTCTATGGAGGGTTAGAGAGCTCTCGGAATGCATCAAAAAATATCTTAATTTGTGTTCCGAAGATGAACGAAGGTCTTACGGGGTTTGGGACGACATGAGGGTGAGTAATTAATGACAGAATTTTCATTTTTGGGTGAACTATCCCTTTAAGGTTTTGTTCTGAAGAGTTTACAAAGTCTTATTTGAGCAACATCTACTCTGTAGTTGTGGAACCAAGTCCACACCAACAGTCCCTCATCAAAATCACATTTGTTAACCAAGCTGCAACTGGCTATTCTCAAACATATTCACCCAACCAGTTAAAAATGGCTTGTTTATGCATTGCATATTAAAAACTTGTACTACTTTGGACTCAAACCGACCCTACCCCACCTTTACCTGTTTCTCTGCTCGTTCTGTAGCAGCCGAGACCATGTCATGTCCTCTGTGGTTGGTGTCCAGCATGCAGAGGCAGCAGATACACTGGCGCTCAGTGCGGCAGTAAACCTCCAGGAGCTTATGATGTTGGGGACACGTCTTTTTTTGGAGTTCTCCAGTGACGTCCACCAGTAAGTGTGCTTTCCCCACATTCAGTTCATTGTGCAACCTGAGGTGAGTTTCACAGTAAGACGCCAAACACACCAGACATGTTTTGATGGCTTTCTCTTTTCTATCACTGCAAGAGTCACACTCCACGTCCTCAGCTTGCTCTGTCTGAAGGCCTGTCCTCTCCAGTGCCTCTGCAACACAAGCAACAGATCTGTCTGGATCTGATGCAGAAGCATTGGAATCATCCAGATCTGCAGCTGGAGCCTCATATTCTTCTGGATCTGTATCACATGAGGAACTCTGTTTACACTGAGGGCAGCTGTTTTCCTGCAGGTCCTGGAGGCAAACCGAGCACATGCGTGAGTCCTGTCATTTGCCATTTCCATGGAGAGCAAGGAGCTCGGTGTTAAAGGGACTCTACAAACAGTTTAGTTTAGTTTAGTTTCTTTCTTTTCCTCGTGCGTGTTTGTGGGCGGGACTCTCTTATGTGTGTGTGTGGCCACAGATAAAGAGAGACAGCTCTGAAGCTTGCTCTAGTGTAAAACCTAAACCCAGAGAGACACACAGTTGCTTGCCAGGGCGCTGTCTCTTGCGTGTTTAGCAAAATAATATCAGATTAACCAGCTTATTAAAATTAATTTGTATATAAGTAGGAGTACAAAGGAGAGACTTTGTACCATCCATGTGGTTTCAAGTCTCTTTTCCTTTTATAAAAGCCATTGCTTTGTAATTGCATAGAGAAGAAAAGTGAGATGGACATTGTACATCTTAAACGGTTGTTTTTCCACAGGTTTTATTGTCCCCCCCCCTCTGTATTCACCTCCAGTGAGTGTGTTATATATGTGAGCCCAGGTGCTGTGCATTTGTCAAACAGAAGCTTGTGTAACTTGTCAAGACAGACAATAAAACAGCAGGAAGCGCTGTAATACGGGCTGTTTCATAATTTAATACTTTTTGTTTCATAAGTTTTTCATATGTTCTGTTTATAAAGTGGCATTGTTTATTCTTTGGTTCATGTAATTTCTCTGATCAACATCACTGGAATTATTTTAATGTTTTAAAATCAATATTGATAACTCCAATGATGTTAATGAGTAATAAATGTTCTAATTTTCCCATAAACTCCTTGTCTAATGGCTGACCTAGCAGATATGCTTTATAAATGCTGATCTTTATGTAGTTAATATAGATGCCATATAGTCCATGCGTAGGCTATTTAAAACAGAAGTACATTACAGAAGGATGTGCACTTTGTCTCAACATCAAGACTTCAGTTCATGTATTTGTATATGGGAAAATGTATGTATGTTGTAATTGGTCACCATTTCTTTGAAGTTTTCACTACTTCAACTAAACCTCTTCATGACCACTTCAACGTTTTCACTTCACTTTTTTCATTTAATTTTAAATTATCCTGGAAGTCGGTTTAAACGGATTGGCCATTTTGTAGATTTAAAGCTAATACATAACACTGACCTTCAAATACCTGTTATAAAGCTAAAGCTAAATATATTATTTATATATACATAGTAAATGTCCTGAACTTTTCTGTTTAGGTCCCAAATCAAATTCAGCCACTGTGCCTGAAGAATTGCCTAAAAATAGTCTAAATTGTCTAAAAATCAGACTTTTAATTAGGAAAACATCAAATGATCAATATTGCCATGAATTATGAATGTCACACTCTAAAAAATGCTGGGTTAAAAAGGGACAAACCGCTAGGTTAAAACAACCCAATAGCTGGGTCAAAACAACCCAATAGCTGGGTCAAAACAACCCAATAGCTGGGTCAAAACAACCCAACAGCTGGGTCAAAAGAACCCAACAGCTGGGTCAAAACAACCCAACAGCTGGGTCAAAACAACCCAACCGCTGGGTCAAAACAACCCAACCGCTGGGTCAAAACAACCCAACCGCTGGGTCAAAACAACCCAACCGCTGGGTCAAAACAACCCAACCGCTGGGTCAAAACAACCCAATAGCTGGGTTTGTCCGTTTTTAACCCAGCATTTTTTAGAGTGTATGATGTTGATTGACAATAAACATTCACAGTATCTTTCATGAAACTCTAGATATTTTTTTTTATATATTGTAGTATTTCTCAAATTTTTATAATGTCATATAAGCGACACAAAAGCTAGTGGTACCATGGTACAATGATGGTAATTCCATCGTATTTTTTTATGTTTTTATGTATAAACGCTGATTTGCATAAGCTTTATAAAGTCACTCCTGTCATCGTAACACGTGTGAAGCGCATGAGAAACCTTTTGGCACGCCCATTGCTCCAAGCTGCAGCTACCCCTACTAGGGTATTTATGAAACCTCATTCACATAAATACTCTCTCTCTCTGTCTCTCTCTCTCTCTGCTCACATAATACCCACGGACGCACGCGGAGATCGCCTCTGCTTCAGGTGAGTGTGAATACGGTTTCTGTGAATTACGCATGCAAAAATCGTAGATTAACAGTTATTAATGTAATTACCCGATGTTCTGCTCAAAAACAAGATTGGGGGGGTTTGACAAATATCACATGTGTTCCGTTTTCGCTGCGAACTACTGAATGCTGTGTTTATTTTTTGGAGTGATACTGCACATTATTACTCGTTTAGAAACGACCTAAGCGGTTCATATTTGATAGTTCATCATAATAATAACACTATAGCTTCTCTGTCCATTTGTTTTATTTTTATTTATTACACTATTAAAAAAAAGCAAAAAAAAAAAAAAAAAAAAGCCTATAACACTAGCTTGCTCTATTCTTTTTCTATTCTATCTGTTTTCTTTTTATTTATTATAGCAGACTTGTTTATAGCACTTGCATGCTTTTGTTGATTTTGATTGCTTCCATTGTCCTCATTTGGATAAAAGCGTCTGCTAAATGACTAAATGTAATGAGAGAAACTAGTTGATCAGGTGCATTGAGATTCTGCAATCAGACTGAAACTTGGTTTATTAAGTCAAAACTTCCAGATGAACCTGACTTTGTGTGTCCTGCTGTAATGATTGAGTGAGTTCATGTCATGTTCCTCAGGGTTGTGATGGCAGACACGGCTGTTCAGCTGACCGGAGTCAGAGATGAGTCCAGGACACCGGTGTCCACCAGAATGTCCTTCTCATCGCCCAGACGAGGAGCGACCGTGAGCTTCCACAGCAT